CTTTATTTTGCTCCACATAATCCTTGAATTAATATATTTATAGTCCCTCTTTTCCTGCCATAGTAAATGTGTTCATATATTTGGGAGTGGATGGATCTACGAAAGATGAGGTGAACAACAGAATTGATGGGGGCTAAAAGGTGGTTGTGTTGAGGCATATGTAGAGACAAAGAATTTAATCCATGGAGGCAAAAAGGGGTAAGGTACAAGCTTACATCACACATGTCACATCGAGTCTTTCTAGTAATTATTTCAGTATTGTCAAGAAGATTGAGAGAAGATATATGTCGTGTGTTAATTAGTTCCTCTCAGTCAGTGTTCTCACATGTTAGTGTATGACTTAGTGTCAATTTTGTGCACAGAAAAGCATCATTCGCTAGTTTAAGCCATGTTGTACCGCATGTACCGCGGGTGTGTGAAAAACTTTCCGTGTGTCCAGTGAGGTCTGCGGTCAGACCCTTGTGTAGCACCATTGTGTTAGTCACCCGGTGTGACCAGCACGTTTGACAGCTGATATCTGTCAGCCCCTGAGCGTATGAGCCCCCTTGTACAGAAAGCTCTTATGCTCGTCGCTCATAGATGTTCTGCAGAATCGTATCTGCTACGATTCCCATCGAGATTTGTTTCACTTCACCTCCAGACTTTCAGAGTGCAGTTATATGTAGAGAAACAAGTCTGGCGATGCTTAAACTAACCTCTGCTATAACTCCAACTGCCGAGAGAATGACACTCGTCAAGCCGCAGTTAGCCCTGTCAGCAGGTGCTGTGTCAGCCTCGTGTCACAGGCTTCAGTGAGCAGCCTGCACAAAGATGATGTCATTGACTGCTAGCTCGCTCACTACAGTCTGGTGTATGATGTTACGACTCCCAGATGTTTCGCCCAGTCGTCTCTGCCACGACTCGCTCCACGCTTGCTGACAGTGACAGCCCAGCGACAGTACCAGTCGAGAAGTGTCCTCCTGAGTTGCTTGCCAGAAGTCCTGCCCAGTCGCCAAGTTTTGACGACGCCTCACTCGAGGGCACAAGCATGTCGTGCCCCAGGTTGAGTGAAAACCTGCAGCGACTCCTACGATGACTGCTTCACTGTTCCAGAGACCGTACCCTGTTATGCCACAGCTCAGCCGCACAGATGTCTCCTGTGTTGCAGTATCTGTCCAGACGCAGGAAGGCGTGCAGTGATGCCCTTCGATGCTCACTGCCTATGACCATGATGTTTAGCACATTCCACATGTTTTTTTTCTTCCCTCCCTGTAGGAAGTTTTTTTTCCATGTCCATATGTATATACATGTATATGTTTTTTTATTTTGTGTTCTGTGCCCTGTTCCTACGAGAGAGAGACCGAGTTTCTTTTACCACCAGTATTGTCGCGTCGGGACGACGCGAGGTAGGTGGCCGAGCGAATGTAGACAGCCTGTACTGTCTGCACAGACAGCCTATGCTGTCTGCCAGCTTAGTTCATATTTTGTGGCACTAAGGTGCTGCCCTCTGGGCCTGCTCCAGGTCTGTGGGAAGCTGGTCCCACACGCTCTCACTCACACAGCGGCCTAGCAGGAAGACACAAGGCCTACTAGTTCTCCCTCTCGTGGGATGGCCCTCCTGGGCCATGGGCACAACACACAAGCCTGTGTACCCACCACTACATTAAAAATAAAGTAAGAAGCCTCCGAAGACGTTTATCATTGAACCCCGCTTACAGCCTACCAATTAATTTCGTTTCACACTGGTGTGTTTTTTCTTCTCATAAACATGCAAGATTTCAGGTACGTCTTGCTACTTCTACTTACACTTGTTCTTTTTTATTTCCTCTTATCTCCATGGGGAAGTGGAACAGAATTCTTCCTCCGTAAGCCATGCGTGTTGTAAGGGGCAACTAAAATGCCAGGAGCAAGGGGCTAGTAACCCCTTCTCCTGTATATATTACAAAATTTAAAAGGAGAAACTTTCGTTTTTCCTTTTGGGCCACCCCACCTCAGGGAGATACGGCTGGTACACTGAAAGAAGATTGCAAAAGTGGTCTAGTTTTGGATACAATTGTGTACACTGGCAGTAAAACATTGCAAGATACCAGGAAGTTACTGGGTATCTCTGGTGATGTGGTTAGAATAATGTTGGAACCATATCTTGGTTAGGGGCATATTTTATATACTGACAACTGGTACACAAGCCCTTTACTCAGTGATTTCTTGCGAGTGAACATGACAGATGTGTGTGGCACAGTGCGTGGAAATCATAAACATATGCCCAGGTTCAACTCTGGCACTCGTAGAGGTGATGTTCAGATGTTTGCTGCCAATGACATCATGGCATTTCGGTGGCTGAACAAACGTGATGTCACACTGTTGACATCAGTTCACCGACACGAAATGGTAGACAGTGGCAAGCAGAATAGAGAGACCAATGAACCCATTGTAAACCTGCAGCTGTAATGGATTACAACCTCAATATGCGGTTAGTGGACAAATGTGACATGCAGATTGGGTTTGCTGATTGTGTTTGCAAGAGTTATAAGTGGTACACAAAACTCTTATTTGATCTTCTTGTCATTTCCATGCTGAATGCTTATAATATGTATCAGTTGAAGACCAACAACAAACCCAAATATGGTGAATTTTGTTTGTCAGTTATCAGACAAATAATATTGAAGTACCAAGGAACAACACTTGCAAAAGACCAGCGCCCACGAAATTATCAACACATGCCCTCTCGTCTGAGGCTTGGTGATCACTACCCCATACCACTGCTTGCTACTGCTTTCAAGAAAAATGCTCAGAAGAGGTATTATGTCTGTGCACATACCACAAAATGCCCACAAAAATGCTGAGACACTTGTTTTTATGTGTGAGGAGTGTAAGACACCACTGTGCATACACCCATGTTTCAAAGAATTCTGCAAGCTGCAGCAGTTCTAGGAAAGTGTCCAGTGATTGTACAGATGTATATATATTATAGAACAAATGTAATAAAAAAAATTTTATATTGTTTGTTTGTGTAAACAAGTTTTGTAAACAATATGATACGAGTGTTTTTGCTATAATTGTGTTACATTCAACAAATGTATATGTGAACATTGCACCATACTTTGGTCTCACAGGCCACATAAGTTATGTGAAAAAATAAAATAGTAAAAAAAAAAAAAAAAAAAAAAACAAGAAACCTTCAAATACAAATAAACCAAGTTTACCGGATGAGCAGCAGTCGCCGCTGTTGCCATACGCGGCTCATTTTCTGCCAACTCCATGCCTCTATATCTCAGTAAGTACTGATGGCAAAAATTCTTTTTTTTTTGGACTAAAACAATCAGAAAAATAATCTTAACTTTTCATAAGAAAAAATAATTTTTTTTTTTCAAATATTTTTCGACACCCGGAGACACTTCAGGATTAGGGGTTTCAACAGTCAAGGGGTTAACTTTACCAATAAATCTCCCAATCACCTAAATCTTAAAACTTCAAGACTAGACGACAAAGTTCATACATTGACTAATACTACATAACAGTATAAATACCTACCAAAAACAGTATTGCCCTACAGCAAATTGTAGCATTCTCCTACTTTAAACTACATACTTTTTAGCAAATCACAATGTTATATTCCCATAATATAATTTCAATAATTACTTTTGAACCTATTGTCCATTGTTGACAGGAATATAACTGAATCATGTTTCATAAAAAGAATTTTTGAAAATATGAATACATGTATTTCCTTTGGTTTATATAAACTAGATTCATTTATAATAAATAGAACTATTGTACAACTATGATAAATTTCTCTAGTGTTAAGTAGTCAGTAAGCCATTAAATTAAGTCGGCCCATAATGCCTAGGCATAATAGAGGCTCTCTTTGCACTGCAACCCATTATTGTAAATACATAACCTCAATGTACTACTTGCAAAAAAAATAAATAAATCTGAATTTGAAATTTGAATCTGAATACATTCCCTTCTCTGCCTCCATGGACAGCATTTTTTGTCTCCACTACTATTCACATTTATTTGGGTGCAAGGCATGGGTTTTAGACACTGCAGTGAGGAGGCTAGAGGCAGTGAAGGTATCATGTTTGAGGGCAAATTATAATCATGGGGAGCACTAAACCTGCAGGATTATACAGCACATGTGGCGGAGGGGATGCAAAATATTCAGGCTCAATTTAGGGAACCGGAGAACAGATCCAATTTCCTAGATCAAGAGCTCCTCACCAGTGTCAAAGAACCACCCTTTAGGGGTTTGAGGGCAAAGCGTGGTGTGAATATTATGCAGAGAATTCGGAACTTGGAGATTAAGAGAACGATGTGAGGTTACCAAAAGTATAATACAGTGGGCTGAAGAGGGTGTTGCCAAGATGATTTTGACATTTAAAGAGAATGGACCAAAATAGGATGACTAGGAAAGTACACAATTCTGATATGGTGGGAAGAAGGGGTAGGGTTCATTCCAGAAAAGTTGGAGAAAGAGGAAAAAGGTTTTGAGGTTGAACATTCAACAGGCATCTGTAAGTGTGTTAGATCAGAGTGGAAGCAAGTGGTTTTTATGACGATGTGCTTTTAGACAGTGAGCAAGGTAACATTTATGAAGGGATTTTATTAGATGGACTTGAGTCCTGGGGCTGTATACAAATTATATAGTAGTTTAGTGAATGCCTGGTTTGATAAAAAAAAAGAAAAATTCAGATTTATCATGTAAAGTGCAATATCTTTAAGCTGGTACCCATTAATATGGAGTATCAGTAAGACCAACCCAATGCCTGTGTTCAGTATAAGACACTGTCTCTAAGATGAACCAATAAAAATTAATTCTGAGAGTTGGACTGATCAAGATTTTTAAAATTTCATGGGTTGCAAGAGGACTGCAGTGCTCACTGACCCAGGGTGCTTTAGCAAACCACATGAGAGTCATGGATAGGTGATTAGATGTGTGTGCCAAGAGAGAAAAATTAACTCAATGTTATGTACATTTCAATAAATGAACTGCATTAACAGACCACCATCAAAATAATTACCCCATAAGGAGTCCAAAATCAAGGTTGCGGCCATGGTAGAGATTTCCTGATGTATCCTGGACAATAATAGAGGTACAGAATGTAAAGACTTCATAAAAAATATTGTACAGCGTAACTTCTGAGAGCGGAAGTCCTGTTGCTTTAGCAATTCCTGCCATTTCCTCATTGTAGGGGTATGGAAGTGTGGAAGCAATCTGTAGACAGGAGCAAAAATGTTAAACTAAAATGGTCATACAGTATTGTCAATTTTTTTTTGTATCAGATACAGTAGAATCCAGAATAACACGCATCCTCGTCACATCAATAAAGCATACCATACCATGGGCGGTGATTGAACTCATAGCGAGCGAGTCGTAAAACTTCAGGCCAGCACGTAAGCCACTGGGTCAGCTGGCTACAATAAGATTCATCCAACTAGGTATATTTATACACAACAGACAGGTTAGCACAGGCCCTATGCTTACTCATTCATGTGTTATTCAACCAATTTTGCATCTTTATATCACCTCATCTTGTCTGAATCTTTACCATGGTAACCAAGAGGAATACTAGTGATGTTTAAGGTACCAAGAAGATGAACAGTTAATCAGCTAGTTTAATATCTTTATTATGCACCCCATACCCATCCTGTGGGCAGTAGTCAAAAGATTACAAAGGTCCATAATGGGTCCAGGGACTGGACCCCAAAGTTATGATAGCTAAACTAGTTACAAAGGTAATGAACTCCAGGTAGATCTGGTCACAATCATGGCAAGTTACAAAGGTAATGAACCATTTACACTCCTGTACATGCATACAATCATGAACAAATTGCAAAGCAATGAGCCACTGATACGTCCACACCAAGTCACAATTGTAACGAGTTATAAATACAAATATTAAGTGGGTCATACACCCACATGAGTGTGCACACACACGAGCACACACACGAGCACGCACACACACACACGAGGACGCATGCACAGACACATGCACACAAAAGTACAAACATATACACACACACAAGCATGCACGCACACACGCACACATGCAAAGTCATGAATAACGGAGGAAGACAAAGAAGACCACAGACAGAGTATAGGGTAGGAGGCCAAAAGCTGCAAACCTCACTCGAGGAGAAAGACCTAGGAGTGAGTATAACACCAAGTACATTGCCAGAAGCACACATTAACCAGATAACTGCTGCGGCATATGGGCGCTTGGCAAACCTGAGAATAGTGTTCCGGTACCTCAGTAAGGAATCGTTCAAGACTTTATACACTGTGTACGTCAGGCCCATACTAGAGCACACAGCACCAGTTTGGAACAAACACCTGGTCAAACACATAAAGAAATCAGAGAAAATGCAAAGGTTTGCAACAAGGCTAGTTCCAGAGCTAAGGAAAATGTCCTATGAAGAAAGGTTAAGGGAAATCGGTCTGACAACACTGGAGGACAGGAGGGTCAGGGAAGACATGCTAACGACATACAAAATACTGCATAAAATAGACAAGGTGGACAGAGACAGGATGTTCCAGAGATGGGACACAGAAACAAGGGGTCACAATTGGAAGCTAAAGATTCAGATGAGTCAAAGGGATGTTAGGAAGTATTTCTTTAGTCATAAAGTAGTTAGGAAGTGGAATAGTCTGGCAAGCGATGTAGTGGAGGCAGGAACTATATATAGTTTTAAGACGAGGTATGATAAAGCTCATGGAAAGGGGGGAGAGAGGACCTAGTAGCGGTCGGTGAAGAGGCGAGGCCAGGAGCTGAGTCTCAACCCCTGCAAGCACAATTAGGCGAGTACAATTAGGCGAGTACACACACACACACATGCACGCATACACACACACACACATGCGCACACACATGCACACACATACGTGCGCACACACACACATACATGCAACACACACACACACACACACACACGTGATAATGCTTTATTTACAGCTAGCAAAGTCAGGGTATTTCTCCAGAATGGTCTGTAATATACCACTGTGGATAAAATACTTTGCCATTTCTTGAACATTTCTGAGTGAGTTGTCTAAATTGATTAATTTTATCGCACTCCAGTACATAATGACACAGGGTGTGACAATAGTCCATCTGGCAAAGTTTACATTCCGTTTGCTCTACATCTGGTGGTGGTGATTTAACCTGCCAAAGATACTTGTAACCCAGCCGGAGCCAGGCAGTAGTGACATCCAAGAGTCGGGTTATCTTGTTGGATGCACCATACACACGTGGCTCCTCCTGCATGATGGAATGATAATAAATGGACCGACTAGTGTCATTATCCCTAAGTCTTAAGTCAATAAAGCTCAACTGAAGTTCTTTTCGTATAATTGTTCTTAAACTGCTAACTGACAACCCAAGATTGTAATCTACTCCCTCTTTGAAAGCATACAGCTTAGCCAATTCATCAGTTCTATAATGCAACTAAAGACCAATGTGAGATGGAATCCACAGCATGTACACTCTGACTCCACTGTCCACAATCTTACCATACCTATGTCTGGCTTCTGACACAAGCATGCCACAATTTATACTTAACGAGTCGAGAGCATTTATGGATGAGAGAGAATCAGTTACAATTAAAGTGTCAACCTTAGATACATGGACGCATTTGAGTGCAAGGAGTATGGCAAACATTTCTGTTTGAAGGGTAGAGGCCCAGTTATTGATGCTTGCTCCAATTTCTTTATGAGAGCCATCACTCTGTACGACAACAGCAGCACTACCAGCTGCACCAGTGGATTGGTGAACAGAAACATCAATGTAAATAATTTGTGGCAGAGTGTTCTGTGTGACTAAGTTATAGGCATGAATCTCTGATAGTATTGAAGAAAGTCTGTTTTTATCAAAAGTCTGTTTTTAGGTAGAGAAGGGAATGTACGAGAGTATAGTGGTACCAACACTCTTACATGGGTGTGAAGCATGGGTTATAAATGCTGCAGTGAGGAAGAGGCTGGAGGCAGTGGAGATGCAGTGTCTAAAGGCAATGTGTGATTTAAATATGCAGAAAATTCGTAGTGTGGAAATTAGGAGGAAGTGTGGAGTTACTAAAAGTATTAGTCACAGGGCTGAAGAGGGGTTGTTGAGATGGTTTTGTCATTTAATGAGAATGGAACAAAGTAGAATGACTTGGAGAGCTTACAAATCTGTAGGGAAAGGAAGATGGGGCAGAAGTTGTCCTCGAAAAGTTGGAGGGAGGGGGTAAAGGATATTTTGTGTGCGAGGAGCTTGGACTTCCAGCAAGCGTGCATGAGCGTGTTAGACAGGAGTGAATGGATTCGAATGGTTTTGGGACCTGATGAGCTGTTGGAGTGTGAGCAGGGTAATATTTTGTGAAGGGATCAGGGAAACTGGTTAGCCAGACTTGAGTCCTGGAAATGGGAAGTACAATGCCTGCAATTTAAAGTAGGGGTTTGGGATATTGGCAGTTTGGAGGGACATCTAAACTGTCATATCTGAGTGCCTCTGTAAAGACAGTAATTATGTATGAGTAATGGTGAAAATGTTGAAAGTTTTTTCTTTTGTTTTTGGGTTTTTTTCTTTCTTTTTTTGGGTCGCCCTGCCTCAGTGGGAAATGGCCAACATGTTGAAAAAAAATGTATGGCACTTCATCTCATTTCTGGATATTAACTATGGCCTCCAGGAGGAATACTAGAGATGCTGGAGGTGCCAAAAAAGAATGTTTGATGGAACTGAAGAGTGTGTTTATTTGAATGTGATTCATAGTGATGCACAACAGCACATATGATGTCTTATTCTGTATGAAGAAATCAAGCATAAAACAATAATATCACACAGTCTGCCTAGTAGGGTTATTGAGGCTAAAACCTTGGGTATTTTCAAATTTAGGTTGGAGAAATAAGTGAGTGAGAGGGGTTGGATTTGAGTGGGACTTGCACGTGAGTTAATAGAATTATGAAAGCTTATTGCTTGGGTAATGAAAATTGGGTTAGGCAAATATTCTGCTAGTGGGATGGATTGTGAAGGACCTGTCTAGCGTGGGCCAACAGGCCTGCTGCAGTGTTCCTCCTTTCTTATGTTCTTACCTTTATTGAAGACTCTCGCTGGTGTATGGAAGCTGGGAGGAGTGGAGAGGGTTAGCGTGATGTTCCGCCACAAATGTTTGCACCTCACTCCACTTTGCACAAATGTCCTTAATCTTTGAAGATGGCACCTTCCCTCTCTCTTTCTCCTCCTCTGAAGCAATTTCCTCAGCTGGTGTATGTAAAAACATAAGAAAGCAGGAATACTGCAGCAGGCCTGTTGGCCCATACTAGGCAGGTCCTTCACAAACCATCCCATAACAGAATCGTATTTGCCCAACCCAATTTTCAATGCTTTCCAAGCAATAAGCTTTGATAATTCTATTCACTCATGAGCAAGTCCCACTCAAATCAAATCATGTGTATGGGGAAGTACCTTGGCTGGTGTGTTCTTTCTTGAATTCTATCATGTCTATCGCCTTCTTTACCAAAGGGCTGGCACTAGGAGCTTTCTTTTGACCCATGGTGGCTTATTTAGCAGTTGCAAGCACTAAAATGAATGGAATACAGTGGACCCCCGGTTATCGGCCGCTTCTCTTAATGGCCAACTCGGTGATCAGCTGGTTTTTCAGCGTCCGGTTATCGACCGTTAATTTGGTGATCGGTCATTTGGGACAAGTCCGTCCGCCGGCTGGGGCTGCTTGAGAGTCAGTTTGGCTATCTCTCTCGGTGGCTGAGGAAGCTTCTGCTCATACATCCAAACATTTTGCTTATTTCCCATTGTAGTTCATGTTATTTTTGCAGTGCAACTGTGAAATAAGTAACCATGGCTCCAAAGAAAGTTCCTGTGGTAAAGAAAGTGAGAAACCCCATGGAATTTAAGTGAGAAGTGATTGAAAAGTTTGAGAGTGGTATGAGGGTGCTGGAATTTGCCAGGATGAACAGCAATAATAAATGAACAATTACATCCATCCTCGCAAAGAAAGAACAAATCAAGGGCTGGGATGGAGGGATATTGTTAGCCGGCTTGACATCATGAATGGTAATGGGATCAACCCTATTATCTGCCTCAGTGCTGGGGGCAATGATGTAGGCAAGCACAGAAGTGGGGATTTAGTTAGTAGGTACAGGACAGCAATAGATATAATTAGGAAGAGGATCAACCCTATTATCTGCCTCAGTGCTGGGGGCAATGATGTAGGCAAGCACAGAAG